CTATGCCTAATTGACTGGGGGAAAGCCAAGATCTGCTGGGGAGTGTTAATACTATGAACCTTCTCTCTTACGTTCTGCCTGTATATAAGAGCAAATAAAACCACACATCATAAAGACAAGCTTCTAGAGACCTTCCTTCCAACAAAAGCAAAGCCAAGGTATGCACCAAGCCCCCTTTGTTCCCTAACTGCTGGGAGAATGAGGTGCATGTAACATTTGCACACAATCCTGTGGAAATAATGTTTTCCCTTCAGCTTAATAACAGCATCGCTGAGAACTCTCCTTCCGCTTAGGTACAACGGCATTCAGGCACCAAGATTAGATCAACTGAGAAAAACTAAAAGCCAGGTTGTTTTACACAATTCTTTTAAAACGAACAAGATTTTACTCATCCAAGGGCAAGAGGGAAAGCAGAAAATTGAAAGCTTTTAGAGGTTTCACCTCGTTATACTTAATTATGTGAGAGTAAGGTACAGTACATTCCCTTCCGCATAGCACAGGTAAGAGAAAGAAAAATGTGGCTTACTTTTCCTCATAATGAGGGCATGCCTAGTTCAGGATTCTTGAAGAAGTGGTTTTGTTGAGGAGGAATCATCCCTGCTGCTTCCAGAACCAACCTTGAATAGAAAAAATAAAACAAAATACATGTATAGAGGGACTTCTGTGTGAATACAATTTTTAAAAAGCATTAAACATGGGGGAGGGAATCTCTGAATAGCTACCAATATTTATCTTCAAAATGAATGTTAAACCCCCCCCTCCAAAATCAGAAAATTATATCCACCACTGAGCTGTAAGATGGAATTTATTGCTGGATGGTTTTTGGAATCTATATTTTCAGAAAAATATAACTCATGTATTATATTTCTGAAAATTTTGAGTACGAAGAAGAATGCATTAGATGATTTTCTGAAATGCTTATTATTATGCTGTGATTGTATTATTATAAAGTGATGATAAAAAAAAAACCACACACCAAAGCAAAGAAAGGATAAAGAGGTTTCCCCATTATAAAGAAACCACCACAGTTCAAAATGTCCTGGGACCAAACTGCACCTCTCAGTTGCAGAACGTCTCCCCTCATTTGCTGAAATCCCTTAGCTTTGTGCTTGTAGTACAATCTGCTGCCCCACAAACAAAACCCAGAAGAAGTTTCTAGTATCTAGTATCTATTCCAGTAAGACAATAACAATACATACTAAGACATATAATATCACAGGAACATAATCCTGGGGGGGAACTAAAAATCAACAATGAACAGTTCGTTTAACCCACATAAACGTTTAAGTAAGCATACAGCTTACCAACAGACCAAGTCAAAGTATCCATTAAACAACTCCCTTCTGAGGGAGGGTAGAGCAGCACAGGTGAAGCCACCCACACCTTGATGGCAAATTTGCTCAGGCATAATCAAGTGCATAATCAAGTGCATAATCTGATGTGCATTTTATGTGAGCTTTATACAGTATATTTAAATAATTTACTGGTCACTTGTTATATTGGGATTTCAGGGAAGGGCACAATAAAAAGCATATATTAAACGCAATTAATATTTTATATATGCTATTTACTGCTTAGCTACTACTTTTAATGTTTTAGAGAGTTTTTTATGGAAAAATGCTGTTTTATTAATTTGTTTGTCTTATTTAATAAAATTTATACAACACCTCAAAGCGCGTTACAAGTGTAGGTGCAGATAACGCCAAGATTGCCTGTTTGATCCCCATATGGGACAGCTGCATATTCCTGCCTTGCAGAGGTTTGGACTAGATGATTCTCAGGGTCACTTCCAGCTCTATGATTCTATATATTTGTTCTAAACTGCTTTGAAATTTCTTGGGATTATCTGGAAGTGTTTGGTTTTTTTGTCCCCCCCCCCAAGAGAAAAAGAGACATAAAATAATGAAGAGCAGACAGTCTTCAGCAGGTTCATTTGAAACAACTGAGCAACAGAACAATCTGCCATGCAAAAGTGGATAATTAAACATCCACATCTGATTCCAAGTGGTTTGACCCTGCTCTTTTGCTATTTGTATCTAGATTTATTCTTTTTATTTTAAATGATTCATTTCTTTCTGTTCCCAAGTATTTTTTTCCAGAGGCTCTGAGGTTGCAATCATGGTGCTATTAGCTAATGAATCCCAAACCCAAATAACGAGCAACTCAGGGTGTGGGTCCACTTACACACAATGGGGAAAACACCACTGCTACAATACCAAATGCTTGAAATTAAGAAATGAGTAAAACCTAACTTGAACTTCAGCCCCCCCCCCCCCACCACCACCACAATCTTGGCACTGCACCAAAGCAGGGACCCTCCCTTTCCATTGATTTTGCTCTGGTATAAATAGCTCATCAGCAAAGAAAAGTGAGTTTAAAGTATCAAATGTTCAAATTGTGCGCATCAACAAAGAGGATGCTCTCTTCCCTCTTGAAAGGAGGGAAGGCTGAGCTTGGACTGAATGAAGTGCCTAATGATACCTTAGCTGGTTCCTCCATCAGGGTTGGCTATTCACCAATCCTGCTTCATCAGCAACAAAGGAACTCTGATCACAAAAAGGCCAGGATTCAATCACATGTACTGAATCCCGCCTGGTTTTCATCTTATTTTTCCTTTTATTGCACAGACTCCATTAGAGTGAGTCTTTCCGATAATCAACATGGCAGCCATCTCCTTTTGAGAACAAGACGTTAAATAGGCCGAGCATTAGCTCCACAATATAATCATTTTACCTGCTTCCTATGCCGATTCAGCTTTCACTCAACACTTACTGGATTTGAGAATATCAAGCTAATGTCACAGAATAATTTGTTTGCAGAGTACAATTGCATAGGGCAAGAAGCACTGAATGCCTGCTCAGTGTTTGCTCTGAGCGGGTGTGGGGCAGGGTGAGGGCCAGAAAGGCTGCCTGTGGCTATCCAAGACATTTCCTTGTATACAAAGTGCAATAAAAAGAATAATTGAATATGTCTACATGTATATTCTAGCTTTCCTCCAAAGAGCTCAAGGACATAGCTCAAGGTGGTGCACATAGTTCCCATCCCCACAACAAACCTGTGAGGTGGATAAGAGGCAGTGACTGGCCCAAGGTCGCCCAGTGAGCTTCATGGCTGTGAGGATTAAACCCTGGTCCCGCAGGTCCTAGTCCAGCACTCAAACCATTACACCACACTAGGTCTCTGACTAATGGCTCTATTTATGATGTTTTTATCTTATCTATCCTACTGTCTCCAAAGCATAAAACAAATGCCTCAAAATAAAACCGCATATCAAAATGGTCATTGATAGGTAGCATTTTGAGCTACAAAAACATGAGGTGCCAATGCTCAAATACTGATAAAAGTGCCATGGCTGCCAGCACAAAATGGCTGCCCCAGGCAGCTAAAGGGGGGGGGAGAGGTGCCAGTGAGGGAGGACTGTCACAATCAAAGCCACATTTCCTGAGGCTGGAAAGCTTTTACAGCAAAAGTGGTGACTCTTGGTTGAGAATATCTTTATCTATGTACAGAGAGAGTGAGAGAGAGAGAGAGGTCACATTCACACCACACATTAAAAGCACTGTGGAACCATTTTAAATAGCCATGGCTTCCACCTGTAGTTGGTTAAGAGGGTCAAGCACTGTTAGGATATGGCTGCAATACGTTCAGATTTTCCTGGACATTACCAGGATTTTGAAGGCAGAATTGACGTCGGAGGGGGGGGGATTTCCAAAAGGTGGCACTTTGTCCTGGATCTTAGGCAAGTCAGTCATGTTTTTTGGCCTAACAACTTGGGGTTGTCTAAAAAAAGCTCATCAATTTTGGGGTGTCCCGGTTTTTACTTTTTGAAATACAGCAGTCCTATGTTAGGAGGCCCTTATTCCCCTCACAGAGTGGCAATTCTCAGAAGGGTTTAACAATGAATAGTAGTAATAGTGTAAAAGGTGTATTGAAATATTTAATAATGGCAATTAAAAATGAGAATGACATACACTTCAACATTTTGTGAGGAAAATTCAGGGCATCCCCCCCACAACCATCCCGCAACTCCGTTGTTCTCCCCCTCCCTGGCCCTCCTGCTCTCCCCCCCTTCCCCCTCCTTATCCCTGCTGTCTTTGGCTTCCTGCTCACAAGGCGATGTGTCTCCAGACGAAGTGAGCCTAAGTGGCCCTGCGAAGGCCGTGCCAGGCCTGACAGCCTCCAGAGGCAATATAAGGCCTAGCGCAGCCCCCAAAAGTCCATGCCAGGTCTAGCCTAGCAGCCACCGGATATAAAACAAAACCTGGAGCAGCCCCAGGACCCACAACACTATCTTTTCCCTGCACCAACTGCACTTCCAATGGCAGGAGGGGATCATGGGAAGATCCCAGAGGTAGACCACAATGATTAGTACAGGAGGAGATCAGCTGATCCCAGGCCACTTAAGGGTTATTAAAGGTGCTCCCTCTGGCTGCTGCCTGGTTTGGTGGCCTTCTCAGTGGTGACTCCCCATTTGTGAAATGCACCCACTGGTTGGGTGTGTCTGTCTTGCTCGTTATTGACTTCCAGGAGACATTTTAAAACATTTGATAGCTGAAGGACACTGGACATTAGCAACCATGAGGGAATGGGATTGCCTTTAAATCTTTTAGATGTTCTAAACTGTTTTGAGATGGTTTTCAAATGTTGTGCGATTAAAAAACACACCTTTAATTGTATTATTTTAACCTTTTGATGTTTACCACTCTGGGCTCCATTGGGAGGAAGGGTGGGAGAGAAATTTAGGAACGAAATAAATAAACTCAAAACTCTGGAATTAGTCAGCCACAAACTGGAAGCTAATGCAGATGATATGGATACCAGTGCTATTTATTCCAAAGAGGAGAGGAAGACCACAACTCACTGGATGGAGCACCTGTTTTGCAGGCAGAACGTCCCTGGCATTTCCAGTTCAAAAAGGTTTAAAGTGCAGGAGAGTCCTAGAGAATCACTGCCAGTCAGAGAGGGAAATGCTAGTCTAGATTGATCAATGACTTGGTTGGGGAAGGCTGTAGCTCAGTGGTAGAACATCTGCTCTGCATGAAGAAGGTCCCAAGTTCCAACCCTGGTATCTCTAGGTGGAGCTGGAAAACCTCCCTAGCCTGAAGTCCTGAATACCTGCTGCCAGTCAGTGTAGACAACACTGAGCTAAGTGAGCCAATGGTCTGACTTGGTATAAGGCATCGTCCTAAATTCCTGGTGTTACATTCCTCTAAACTGCCAGCTCCAGCTGATATCCTGGCAGCCACATTCTGGGCCAACAGATGCTCCCAAAATGTATTCGAAGGCAGAGAGTCTCATGCGGGCAATTCATGGGTGAAAGGCTGTGAGTCACATCTTTGCAACCCAATGGTGAGTAAAGAAACTGGAAGAGCAGTTCATAAAGGAATGCTGCAATAATAGCTGCTTAATTTTAAGTGGGCTGTTGTCCTTTTTGAGAAGAGTAAGAATTACTCAGAAAGACACCAGAAGGGGGACCAAAGGAGTGCACTGTTAACATGTGGCAGCCATAAACGGTAAGAGCTTTACCAAATCCACCTGCCGGGATCAGGAAGTGATAAAGAAAGCCCCCTTGGAGAGGAGAAAAAATATTTGCAGACACCTTTAGTGTCGTTCGGATAAGAAGACCCTCCTGGAAGAGGACAGTGGAAAAACAGTAGATCTTTCACTCACAAAACAAAAATAGAGGGTTTACCCCTCGCTGTAGGCAAAGCACGAGAACTGGCTACCCATGGAGACTTCACAGCTGCAAGGCTGACATTTGAACAGGGTTTTAAAGGAAAGCGTAAGAGCAGAGCATTTAAGCAAAACCTTGAGGTTAAACTATTTAGATGCAGTTGTTCGGATTTCAACAGCAGCTTGTGTGAGGACCATTTCATAGGAACACTGGAAGCTGCTTCAACCTGAGACATTTTATTGCTCTATACTGCATAGGCTCAGTATCGTCTACACTGACTGGCAGTGGGTTTCAGGCGAGAGGAAGGTGTCTTTCCCAGTCCTGTCTGAAGATGCTGAAGTCTGAACCTGGAATCTTTTGTATGCAAAAAGGATGCTCTAACATTTAGCTATGTCTCCCCCCTCCAAAAACACACCACTATTGAGGTTCCAGAGGGAGTGAACAAGTAGAGAGGGATATACAGAACTGCACTTTTCAATTGAGCAGTAGACAATAGATAATGCAGTGAAAAGTTGAAAGAGCTGGTCACAAAACTCTCTGAATTTTAAAACGGATATTTTGTATCCAGGCACCTGTCCAGACACGTCTCCCTGGCTGGATAAGGTCTGTAGTCACCCTGTTCAAAGGCCATCTGGATTCCCCAAAAGAGGCTTGTGAAACTAAATTGGACACATCTGTAGACACACACAAAATTAAGCCACGTGCTGGTGAGAGGCAACCTTTGACATCATTTGTCACTTTGCATTTCTTTCTACATATTGGTTTGCACCGAGGGGTTCTCTTCTCCTCCTCCTCCCCACGCAGTAAGTTACTGTAACTACCTTTTAACTGCAGAACAAAGCCTTCCTGCCAAAACAGCCCCCTGGAAAAAGGCACTTTCCTGGGATATTTTCCGCTTTCCAAGAACTGAATAATGTCAGAAACAACAACAACAACAACAACAATAATAATAATAATAAATAAAAAAATTTTTATTTATATCCCGCCCTCCCCAGCCGAAGCCGGGCTCAGGGCGGCTAACAACAATAAAACAGTACAAAAGTACAGCATAAACAACAGTCTAAAATCATTCGTTATAAAATTAATTAATTCAAGCCACTGGCAACCATTGGGCCAGAGCTCCGCGAAGATTGCCGAGGGAGGGAGTCAGGCTGTGCCCTGGCCAAAGGCCTGGTGGAACAGCTCTGTCTTGCAGGCCCTGCGGAAAGATGTCAAGTCCCGCAGGGCCCTGGTCTCTTGTGACAGAGTGTTCCACCAGATCGGAGCTGCGGCCAAAAAAGCCCTGGCTCTAGTTGAGGCCAGCCTAACTTCTCTGTGGCCTGGGACCTTCAAGATGTTTTTATTTGAAGACCGTAAGTTTCTCTGTGGGGCATACCAGGAGAGGCGGTCCCGTAGGTACGAGGGTCCTAGGCCGTATAGGGCTTTAAAGGTTAAAACCAGCACCTTAAACCTGATCCTGTACTCCACCGGGAGCCAGTGCAGCTGGTATAGCACCGGGTGAATGTGATCTCGCAGCGAAGACCCCGTAAGGAGTCTCGCTGCAGCATTCTGCACCCGCTGGAGTTTCTGGGTCAGTCTCAAGGGCAGCCCCATGTAGAGCTATAAACTTTTATCTAGCCTCCCCCTCAACTGTGCGTCTCAGAAAAAAAATGTGGAGGGGTGGGGTGGGGAGTTAAGTCAAATCTTTGACAAAAACTACTGGTAGCCATAACATTTGCCTCATGAGATGGGGGGAGGGATTGGTGATGTGATAGGCTGGAATCACCCAGGTGAAGATTAATTCTCAATCACCTTTGCCATCAGGAATGTCCTCACTTGGCCAAATCTGATGAGCTACATCACAGCATGACATTCTCACATTCGCTAAGTGATCTCTGATTGGCTAGGAACACTCTAGGAAGGAGAAAGAAAGTTCAATAGACACACACATACCCCAAATTGTTCAAGAACAGAAGAAGAAAGGTGGAAATAAAGCAACAACAAAAAGGTTGTTATGTACTGAGTTGAATAGGATCCAAACTGCAGCAGTCTGATTGGTCCTAGAACAATAGGATCCAAATGCAGCAGTCTGATTGGTCCTAGAACAATGGGATTCAGAATGCAGCAGTCTGATTGGTCCTAGAACAATGCAGCAGTATGATTGGTTGGCAGGAACCACCCAATCATGCTCCAGATAGAAGTGAATCCACAACCTGATTGGCTTACAGTAGAATTCCGGAATTAGCCAATCATGTGCAGCCCATTGTGTAAATAATGTATATAAGGCAGATACTTTGAGGGGACATTCATTCATTCCTCCTCACCACTATTTAGCTGAATAAAGAGCATGAAATCACTTCATGCGACTCTGAGTATATTTCAAAGGTATTAAAGAGGTTCATAGCTCTCCCAAAGCTATAGTGTCGAGACAAAACTGCCCAATGAAACTGATCAGTTGCAGCCTTAAAATGCTGAAGTCGACAGCCCATTTCCAGTGTTACATCGCTTAAAAGGAGCATCTCCTATATGTGACAGGCTCATCAAAAAATGTTGGGTGTTTTGGACTGTGGTCTTTGCAAAAATTACTAAAATGACTGGACAGCAACTATTGTAATCTCCAGATTAAGCGTTTTTCAAAGCAACAACAGGGTTTGCCATTTCAAACCTCTACTTGGTTATATTCTTGCAGCTGCCCAGCTAGTTTGTTGCTCAGTATTGGAAGGACCTAAATGGCACTAAAATAGCTAATTGGTATACGATGACTTGATGAGTTGCTTTGATGGAGGAATTAACAAATAACCTACGTTTGGCTAAAGGAACAAAATATGAAGAGTCAAATTAGCATATTGGTGCTCTTTTGAGGTTTGTGCAACCAAAAGTGAAACAGAGACATATTCCAGCAGCAAAAAAAAGCTTTCTGGCTGCTATGAACATGGTGGTCTTTAATTGTTATACTTTCTGATGGGATGTACTGACAAGATTAATGGTTTTGGTGGTTTTTTGTTTTTGTTTTACTTTAGGCTCTCCTTGTATCCCTCTACAAGATGAGGAGGGGATTGTTTTGTACTATTAAAATTGCGATATTAAAAAGATATATTTAAAACACACATGCAGAGTGCAGCTCCTAACAGCAAGTACACTCACAGCATATTGAGAATAACGATTCTGCCTTTGGAGATGAAACAAAAGAATTGGAATCTGTGAAAAGTCTTGCTTTCCCAGCACAATGTTTTGGGGGTGTTTCTTTTCCTTTTTTTTCAGACAGTTGCGAAGGAAGCAGCTGTGATGACACCCCTCCAGAGCGGGTCTTTCAGAATGCTGGAGCGGGTGATGGAAAGCGAGCGGCGCTAATCCCGGGATCCACACCACATATGCATTATTTTTCCAAGACGAAAAGCCAATTTCATAGGGCCGTAAATCAGCGGCCATAAAAATTAGCACTTTTGAGCACACAGAGCTGCTGCCAGGTACAAGATCTCAACTCTTTGAATACACAGACCACAAAGTCAAGGAATGCAGTGTGTGAAAAACCCACACATTTGAAGGAGGAGGAGGAGGAGGAGAAACAGGGGGGAGAGGGATGCAAAGTGCACCACCCTGGGAGGACAACTGTGAAGACGGCACTACGAGAAAAAAGGCGAGAGCAGGAGCATTCCCATCCGATGCTGGTGCCAGTGAGTGCCCAAGAAGGCCCTGTTCACTGATACGGACATCCTCATCATTCTTATCATTTCATTTATGAATCACTTCCCATGAGGCAGTGTTATATTGGCCATGATGACTGGGGGTCTTAGGAGCCAACAGCATCTGGGGGGCTGCAGGTCCCCTACCCTGGTCTACAGACCAGTCACGATCACTGTCCAAGGCATTTGGGTAGCTGCCCTTCTCAGTAGGCAAATTGTGGAATGAGGGGATTGGATGTGATGCATGGAATCCAGCCTCAGGCCCTGCCTGCACTATACATTAATAGCAGTATCATGCCACTTTAAACACTTGCAAATTAACTGTCATGGCTTCTCCCAAAGAATCCTGGGAACTGGAGTTCATTAGGAGCACTGAGAGTTGTTAGGAGACCCCACACCTCCCCCCAGCTGCAGTTCCCAGAGTGGTTTAACGATCAGTCTCCCTTCCCAGGGAACTCTGGGAACTGTAGCTCTGGGAACGGAATACGGGGTCTCCTTAACAAACTACAGTTCCTGGGATTCTTTGGGAGAAGCCATGAGTGTTAAATTGCAATCATACTGCTTTAAATGTGTAGTCCAAATGGGGCCTTGGTATGTTTAAAATAGGCCCAGTGAAATCAGTGTAGCGCTAAGAATAATAGCTCAGTTGGTTAGAGCATGGTGCTGATAATGGCAAGTTTGCAGGTTCAATCACCGTATGGAGCAGCTGCATATTTCTGCATTGCAGGGGGTTGGAATAGATGACCCTCAAGGACCCTTCCAACTCTACTGTTTTATGATTCCACTAGGATCCAACACACTGGTTTGTTCAGAATAAACCCACTGAATTTCATGGAGGCAACTAGTCTTGTCCATTTATTTCAGTGGGTTTACTCTGAGTAAGGTTCAGTTAGCTCCAGCCCTTTGTGTTTACTTTAACTCTGGACAGCAGAATATCTCCTTATTTAAGTGTTATTTGGAGCTCTTTATTTTTGGCTCCTGCTCTGACACACGACCGATTATGTAATAACATACCAAAGAATAAAAGATTTATATTTATTAATACTCATCACCTGTTTTTCTTTAGATGCACTTATGCAATGAAGCTCTCCTTTTCCACCCTCTGCTCAAACACAAAAGAGTTACGGCGAGGATTGCTGGCTTGCAGTTCCACCTCTGCGTCTTGGATATCTACAAGAAGACATCCTGTAGAGGCAAAATTACCCAGCAAGGGCTCCAGAACCTCCACGCCTCCTGCTGTTTGAAATGGCAGCCCGCGGGCCAAGTGAGCTTAATGGCACATCAAGGCTGAAACAGGCACTCCAAGCCAAACCTTTGGCAAATCCAAAAGGCATTCACAGCCAAAGCAGCCAAGCCAATTTGTCCACTGGGAAATCGGAGGACATTCTTGGACGAGCAACTTGAGGGACAAAGCCCTGGCAGAGGAAAGAGCTGGGCAACAATATTCTGTTTCTTGGCATAGGTCTGGGCTCGTGCTTGTGGGAAAGGAAGCAGGGAGGACTGGCGGCCTGGTCACAATAAGAGATTGGCTTCCGTTGCCTAAAAGATAAGGAGGAAGCTGGAAGGAACTAGAACTTTCCATGTGAAAAGGCAACAAGCTCAACATACTGTGGCTGCCCGTCCTAACCCACCATCCAGAGCAGAACGTTCCGGGAGGTTACAGAAGTGCCAAATAAAGCAGTCACTTAAAACAGCTGTATCAACAACAGGATAGGGAAAGGCTGTGGCTCAGGAGTAGAGCACATGCCTGGCATGCAGAAGGTCCCAGGTTCAATCCCCAGAATCTCCAGGTGGGGCTCTGAGAGACATTTGCATTAAACCCTAGAGAGCTGCTGCCAGTCAGTGTCAACAATAATCAGCTAGTGGGACCAAGTGTCTGACTCAGTAGAAGGCCGCTTCCAATGTTCCTGTTTTAGGGAGTAATTACTGAATCATGCCACTGTGACCCTTTCCTAAAGTAGCTTGGAAGTGTGGAGTCCAATATATTTGCCTCTGTGCTTACAACAGGCTGGTCCAATGACAGTTTCACCACAAGCAGAGTTTTTTACAAGCGCAACATCAACAAAAAACACAGTGGTCGTGCAAATATGACCTTTGTCATTAAAAACAAAAATTAAACCATAATTGCCAGGACTCTTGCTATTTTTCTAGAAAAACTGGTGTTGAAACTCTCCATGAAATCACACTTGTAATGGCAATGACCGGAGAGGTGGGGGAACTGAATTCCAGTGAGTTCCAGCTGGAAAAAACACACCGGCTAGGACTCAATGGGCAATATTCTGATGCCTCAAGTATCAGAATTCAGGAGGCTTTGGGTTCCTGTGGGAAGAGTCAGTGTAGAGCAGGCCGGCCCATCGGGGCAAAAGGGGCATTGCCCCGCCAACCTCAGCAGGACCTCAGCCAGCCCGTCTGCCTTCTTACAATCAGTCCAGGGGGCAGCCCTGCCTGTCAGTTACCTCCTCCTTACTCTCAGAATTGCCCTTGTGGAACTCAGCAGGGAGAAGGCAAATGGGGCCTAAGCTAGAATGTGTTGGTTCTGCCTGTCCTGGCCTCACCTACTGTTAGCCTCCCTGCTTTCCACCCTACCAGTCCCAATGGGCACCAGACAACACTGAGTTAGGACATTAGAGTCAGGCCAAACAGACCCAGGCTCAAATCCCCACTCAGTCCTGAAGTTCACTGGGTGATTTTGGGCCAGCTCATTTCTCCACAGCTCATTTTCATCACAGGAGCTGTTGTGAGGATAAAACAGAACAGGGGTGAGGGGGGCTGTACTAGTTCTGAGGTCCTTGGTGAAAGCTTGGGTTTAAAATGCTAATTAACAAAACAACAACAACAACAAAGAGCTCAAGAGAGTTCCCCCCTGCCAGGATCTCTCAACAGTTGGGTCTATGGTTGGCTCTATGATTCCCCAATAAGTTTCCCACTTGCAGACCCTTCCTTATACTCTATTCATTTATGGATCAAGGGAAAGGGTCTGCAGTCAGGAAAACATTTGCAGGGTAAGTGGGTGAGAAGACAACACTCTTCCCCCTAGGCACCCAGAGATGTGGTGCAGCAGCAAGGGCCATTCCTATCTCAGAGAGCCATCTAGCTGGAGCCCTCCCTCGTCCCCACTTCCCACGGAGTCAAACTCCAAAGTCTGGTCTGAAAGAAATCCGTATGTTTCATTGTGTGCTTCTATGCGCCCATCTGCTAAACCTTGCAGGTGACCTGACAGCCTCATTTTACCAGATTCAGAAAACAGGCAGGACGAGCAGCAAGCCTGCTTTGGGGAGGGAGGCACTGGCTCAGTGCCGTGTCTATGGTCTTCATATCCAGCCAAGAGCACTCGCTGTGAAGACTCACTCACCATCCTCGGTGATTTAAATAGCAATGAAATGTATATTTTCTGAGAACTGGGAGGAAACACTTCCCCAGCAGGGAGGAGGGGACCCCATAAAACCTGCTACCTGTGTGCTGTCTGCTTTGCGCTTTTCGGCATATATGGAGACATCCAAACGCCACAAGGCAGGCTGGCCGTCAAGGGTGATGGGGAGAGCAGATGGGGAGATGGAAAGCACAATTTTATTTTATTAAAAAAAAAACAATGCTCTCCAGGCTTGGCTTGCACCAACGCAAGGATCTGTCAAGCCACTGCTAAGGAGCCAGAGGGGAGGTGTGGGTGTTAAAGGGGTATAAAACACAATATCCAGAGAAGCAGGAAAAGGTCAATCCGCCAGTATTGCTGCAGAGTATTTCATTTCAGCTTTCAGGCTGTGCAAGCTGATCTTTGGAAAGAAAGCAAGTGAATGCCCATGTGTCAACTGAGATGTTTCCTGCCACTGTTTACATCTTGGGGGTAGGGAGAAGAGAGAGGGAGAGGGGGGAGGGGAGGAAAAGAGGCCCAGTGCTGGCTTAATAGAAGCTACAAATCATAGATGAGGACTGTTTTTAATTGCCAGGAGTGTTTTGAGTTTTATCCTACCCGGGCCAATGCAATTAGCAGGTATCTTACAGGAAGCACAGTGTTGCATTGTGCAATTTAGGTTAATTAAATGAGAGCCCAATTAAAGGTGGCTTAATTAAATGGCAATTAAATAAATTGCAACTAATTACTTTTTAATCCCCCTTCATAGCTGAAAGTGAACAAATCAGTCTAACAAGTTGCAGAATCATTTTTGCCTGAGTTTTGCTTGTTCATTTAACGCAACCCTATGAAAATCTTTTGGAGAATCCTTCAGATGTACATGGACAGAGACCGCCTTTCCACCCCCTCACACACACACACAAAAATGTTTGGTGAAACTGACTTGACACCATTTTCAGCAGAGTTCACTGCAAACCACAATTCCCATCATGCTAGGCTGCCCTATTTCAACTTGCACACTAAAATTCTACCAAATATCACAAAATAGTGTGCAAGCTTCAAGCTCTCCAGAACTCTTCACCATCTTCCTAGCTCAGTTTATAATCTAGCCAGATTAAGAATTCTGGAGAACTCAAATGCTTGCTGGTTATTTTGTAACATGGGGTTTGGGATTTTGATTCTGGGCTAGCAAGGCTACCTTCACTTTTTGTGTAGATATCACCTCAGTGTAGATATCACAAATGGATGAGGATTATCATTCCTATTTCGTCCACAATGCTGCACTGAAGCCGCTACTTAGGGTGCTCTGTCCCCCGCCCATTTGTCCAGTGCAAAAGCAAAGACAAGCAAAGAAGAAAACAATTTTGCAAGCAGCTGCTATGGCAGCTCATGGTTCTTTAAAAGAGATATAAGTGATGGCCACTCCCGCTTCCAATATCTTAAGAATCCTGGAAAGAGCAAAGGCCTCATTTGCGAAACTGAGCGTACTTTTGCAAGAGGCAAAGACTAGGCAACAAGAGACACAAAACCACGCAATGGGGGAATGAATCTTTCTGATCAAAGAATAAAATTAAGCCAGGGAAGATTTCAAATTTTTGACATTGCTCTCATCAGCTTTTCCATCTGTCCTTGAGCACCGAGAGATAGCAAAATACTATTTGGAATAAGAAGAATATTTAAAACACAATATAAATATTGTTGACACTGCCTGCGATATCTCACTCACCAGGGCAAACGTGTTTCATTAATCTTCCCATGCCCTTTTATGCAGGATATCTTATCTTGGGATCACTCCTGAGCTCACTCCATAGGACATCACAAAGCTACAGTTACGCCAATAAAATATGGATTAAGCATTATTAATATTTAACCGATGGACCCAAAGCATGTTCCTAGGGGGTTGGATTTCTGCTGGAATTTTGCTCAGTTCAGAACAGAGGCACTCACCCCCACCCCAGTTCTACCTGTGGTAGATCCACAAAATGTGGATCTCTGCTTTGTTTTGTTTTTGAATATTTGGAAGAGATGTGACAGGTGGATGCATTTCTGCCGGAATATTTTAATTGTACTTTTATCATTAGGTATCTTTTATATTGTTGTGATCTGCCCCAGGATAACTTATGATGAGGAGTGCTATGGAAATTCTATAAATAAATTGCGCACACATGTATATAAAAGCAGATCCTGTACATCAAAGCACTTGCAGAAGTCCAAACATTTTGCTATGAAGAATTGATCTCTGGTTTGTTGGTCAGTGTAACCAATGTATGATTTCTGTGATTCACTGCATGCTACCAGGATCCAGAACAAACTTGTCCTAAGTGCTGTATGATGGATAGATGGGTGGATAAATGGATGCAAATGGATTAAAGGGCTGATTGGTGGGTGGGTACATACATACACAGAGAGAGATTGAGGGATATAAAACTTATTCACAGAAAGTTCAATTTATGCCACAATCTACTCAGTTCCAAATACAGGTACATGTCAGAACGCACTCCCCAATCCCACCTGTGTTACCCAGGGGAGCTTATATCAGTACTTAGAACACATGCATTGCATCCAAACTTTGGAATTTCCAGTTTAAAAAAAAAAAAATGGTTCTCAGGTTTGGGGGCCGAGAAAAATCCCCAGCCAGAGGTCCTTGAGGTTTCCTGTCCAGCAGAGCAATTGTATCAAAAATATCAAACTAAGAGCATCAGAAGTTGCTGTAAATGCAAGCCTCCGTCATCATTCTAGCAACCATTCCCAGAAAGTATCCAAACATTTGCATCTGCAATTTCCCCTGGCCTTCATATAATTCATAAAATAAATACAGATGACTTGAAGCAAAGGCACAGAATCTGGTTTTCCCCCAAATAAAGGTTTTCGTGAGCTTGTCAAACACAACTGGTCAAATAGTGCAAGCGGGAATTCCCAAAAGACAATTTCATCATGGCTGTTACCACGGGGTGCAGGTATCCAAGATTTCCAAAAGAACCAGAAAAAATAATGCTAGAAACTGAATCTTCTAATAGGGTGCTGGGGGGGGGGGGTTGGCCAAATTAGCATTCTGAAAGAAAGTATTGAACAAACCCAGGCTTTACAACTGGAAGACAAAATATGTGGATTTCTACCTATTTTGGATCCCCCCCCCCTTATTTGGGCAGCAATTAAGCGCATTTGCAATAACACTCACAAAAACGGAGTCTGTTATCTTTGCTGTGTTTTACTTCCCACTTTTATATTGTATTATTTTACTGACAGGAGAGTGTGCAATTCAAACTGTCAAAACATTGCGATAATTATTATAAACTGTTAGGCCACAAATCATCGGCAATCCCCTGTTAAAATAAACATGGGGAAATGATCATATAATCAAGCCCCCACCTGTTTTCAATATCCAACTCCTTTCAGGGGAGTCGCCGTTTCTCTCCTTGTTCGGTTTTTGAAAACACAGCCCTCACCGCTCTGTCAGCAACTGGTGCATCAGGGGGCCAGGCCTGGGCCCCTGAGAGATGTCCCTTGGTTCCCCTAGCTGCCAAACTCAGAGGCAAAGCAACGGAGGTATGGAGAAAGTGGTGCTTTTGGCTGGCCGATATTGGAATGGTGCCCATTCCCCGAGATCAATTTCATTGGTACCGGGAAATCTAAAGGGAACTCTTGTTGCAGCAGCCATTAAGCTCAGATCACCGTACATTTAATAGCCCAACCTCCCACTTCCCATCCCCAAAAAATGAATCATTGGAACTGCCATTTACACCTCACTGTGTTACAATTCCCAACCCCCTTGACAAACTATAGTTCCTGGGATTATTTTGGAGAAGTCTTGGCTGCACGCACACACCATACATTTAAGGGACATGGTTGTTATATGAAACAATGGACTGCCATCAGCTGAGCCACTGCAAAGGAGAGCCTCTGGGTGTCTGTGACAAAAATGGAATTGGGGCGGTGAGGCTGAAATCAGAGTGAGACGAGAGGCATGTGCAAAAATCCCTTTTTCTATGCCACTATTAAAGAAGCAGGCAGCCTAGCGTCTTCCTTTGCATTTGGGCCAGTCTGCATAGCGCCTTTGCTACTCACAGAGACAACAGGAACTGGTCAGGGCTTCTCTTGAGCCTGGGCTCCATCTTACAATTTATTTTGAATGCTTAAGTTTCAGCCTCGGAACAAGGGGAAGAAGATGCATCTGAGCATGTGCAAAGTATCATAAGATGCCCCACCTGTACAGGCAGGCATGGACACACACGCTGGATTTCTATTGCCCCTAACATTTCTAGTGCAAATAATGGAAAAATTGGCATTACCAAAAGTCTATACAAAAAAAAAATGGCATCAGTTTGTTTTTGTCAGCCATACTTAACAACAAAGAAAGATTGTTGCTCCTTTTCAGTGGTGGCACAGGCTCACACTCACATCGAAAAAGATAAGCAAAAAAAGAGGTTTTGTAGCACCTTAAATATGAAACATGGGTGGACCACAGTTCATATTAGCAGATGCAAAAGTATTATCCTGAGTATAAACGGTTGGAAGGGCATTGCAAACGGTGAGGTCAGAGCAAAATGCAATGCAGAAAGCAAAGTGTAATGTAAACAGTAGTCATCCACAAAACAGTTGCTGGTGATAACACAGGCACCCTGACATTGTATCTTTCTGATGCCACCAGACTCCCTGCTGTTTTAGCTGCAAGAGTCTCACACAGCTGCCCCTCTGGAAAGAGTTAACAGAGAGAATTGCTTCAGGATGGGCCCCGTGCCGGGGCCAAGTCTGCCATCCAGCCAGGCATTGCGGCGACTCACCAAGGTGCTGCAATCCATCACAGCAACGCTGCAAGCAAACTCAATGCAAAAAGTCAAAGTGAACCCAGCAGAAGCCTCTTGGTGACACGCCTTTTGCAATTGCTGCTGCAGTCAGAGCCTATGATGGAGAGTAGCACCGTTAAATAACACTGAGTGCAGACGTGCTGGAAAGGGACCCATCAACATTCATGAAGTATTGACCTTCAAGTCTCCACCTCTCATGAGTTATGGGCCCTCTCCGACCGCCCCACCCACCCGCCCTTCTGCACTCCCCCACTGGTGTATATAAATTGAGGCAATGATTTATTTGCATCCAGCAAGGAAAAACAAGTGGGATATTTTACATATTTATATCATAAGATAAACCGATACTTAAGCTGATCAAAGTGAGCGGAAGATCTGGAGGCGATTACTGCGGCTATTTGTTTAACAGAGGTCACATTGCACATGGAGTAGGCAAATCGGCAGAGGGCCTGCGGAGCATCTGTTCGGCAGTCTGGTAGAAGGACGGAGACGGCAAAGGCCAGATCCAAAGCCAGAGCAAAGGGGAAAGCTGCGGCCAGAACTTTGGGGCTCAGCAGCCCAAGGACCCCAGCTGAGCCCAACCCTCGGGTCTCTTGAATCACAGGCAAAGGAGCAGAACATGCTGCCATGTTTACACACAGGGCAAACTACTTGCCAGTCTTGCCCAGAAGTGAGCAACCTGTGGCCCTCAGCCTAGTCACCCACAGGTAGCAGAGAGAGAGAGAGAGAGAGAGAGAGAGAAAGGGGTGGCAGAAACAGAAAAAGGGGAGGCCTCACCTTGTTTTGGCTCCAACCGTGCTGATTAGTTGCTGTCGATAGGCCTCTCCTCCAGGAATTTGTCCCATCCCCTTTTAAAGCCATTTAGGTTGGTGGCCACCACTGCCTCCTGTGGCAGTGAGTTCCATAGTTTAGCTATGCACCGCATGAAGTATTTTCTTTTGCCTATCATGAGTCCTCCAGCATTATGCTGCATTGTATATCCATGAGTTCCAGTGTTATGACAGAGGGAGAAAAACTTTGCTTTGTCCACTTTCTTTACGCTATGAATAATTTTTATGAACTTTTATCAGGTCGCTTCTTACTTACCCAAACACTGCAACATTTCCTTGTAGAGGAGTCGCTCCATCTCCTTGGTCATTTAGATTGCCCTTTTCTGAACATTTTCCAGCTCTACATTATCCTTTTTGAGGTGAGGCGACCAGAAGTGCACACTGTATTCCAAATGATTTGTAAGACTCACATGCCTCAGTCTCAAACTCCTGTGAACCTGGGCCAGTGGTGGCAGTTCCCAAACAGGGGGGACAGCAGTACTAGATAGAAGCAAGGGGAGCCTAAGTAGAAGAGCCCCACTGGACCAGAAGAAGGTGGGTTCACCCTATTCCAACATCCTGTTTCCCCACTGGCTAATCAGTGCCTCCTGCTGATACGCAAGTGTGCAGCAAACTCCCACTGCCTGTGCCACTTTTAGGACACTTGAGATGCAAGGCTGGCTATCCACTGCCTTACTCCAAACCATTCTTGCATTCAGCTGGCGCCCCTTGTTGATAGCTTGCCCCTGAGCCTTTGAGCCTGCCACTTAACATTACTCAACAGTCAATGAGCCACTTAACAGGCAGCTAATGAAATGCACAAGAAATTAAGCAGATCGTTCATTGTCAACCGCTCATCCCCCAGAGGGCACACAGTCAGATTTCGCTGGTCAATCAGGAGAAACAAATGGGCTTATTCCCATTCATGCCGCTAACAGATTAGGGTCTAGAAAAACAAATGTTAGAGGGTCCAAGGCTTGTGAAGGTGGAGAGAGAAGCAAAGATGGCACAGCCAAGTAGAATAAAGAGCAACAACCACCCCCAAACATAGATATGTAAGATTACACAGCCACCATTTCTCAGTAACCAGTGTACCCTCAAGTGTACATGGATGTTTTTTAAAAGTAATTATTTTGATTCCCAGGTTGAGAGCCTGAACTTCAGCCTGTACAATGAGATAATAGAGAAAACTCAAATTTAGGGATCATATCAACCTTTGAACCATACTGGGAATGGAATCAAAGTATAAACGTTCATTAATAACAGGTTCAAACTCTAAATAATTCTTTCAACAGAAATCAGCCCAAACAAACAAGATAATGAAATAATGAAGGGCGGGGAGAGAACAGTCTTCTTGCTTCACTGAACTTTATACAAGCTTTTCATATTAACTCTGGGGGTGCTAATCACAGGCTGGGGAATTCAAAATGGATCTTACTTTCACTCTGCTCATATCTGGCCACAATCTGGCCATTCTGCCTCTCCAAGGTACCAGCAGGTCATTCCTTGCTCACTTCTTACCCAGACCCCTCCTTTCTCTGTAGTCTAGGTGTGGGGAACCTTTGGCCCTCCAGATGTTGCTGAACTATAAATCCCAATGGCCAGGGATGATGGGAGTTGCATTTCAGAGGTTCTGGAGGGTCAAAAGTTCCCAACACTCAACCTAACTGAGGGGTGTCCTGCTGGCCACAAAATCCAGCTTTTAACCAGCAAGCTGAGTCAATTCCAAAACAAGACCAGAGGCTTCCAATGACACAAAAGCCAATGGAAATAGCATGTTTTTATGTGCTTTGTTTCCATCCCCTAAGCTTGACTTGATTGCACCGCGTTTCCCCTCCTATACACAACATCTCAGCTCAATAATCAACATTAACACACTTAACAATTTGTGTGAGCCTTACCTCCAACTAATATGTTAGGGTTGGGGGGACTGAATCCGGCCTGGTGACTGGATTCATATCTCCCTGCCCCCAACCCCAAGGGCCAAATAGGTAAGGTTAGCTGGGCTGTGGCTGTCACCTTGTCCCCTTTCCTCAAGGTGCCAGGGTTATTTTCGGGGAAGTGGGTTGCTGGCATTCCTGCCCTTTGACCAAAGGCTTGAAGAGCCCCGCCATGACAACCAATAATGCTCTGCTGGCATTTAGCTTTAACTCTTCAGGGCCAGCAGTGCTTTTCAGGGGAAGCCCAAGTCTGCTTGCGGGTTTCTACCACAACCTTAAAACCCTCTTTCTGTCACACAGAGACAAGCCGGAAAGCCGGAGGGAACTTGTAGGTCAGCAGAGGAGCTAGTATTTTGCTCTTTTTGATTTGCAAACCTTAGGAGGGAGATCATCTCAAGCTATTGGTGGCTGGTCATGTCTGGTGATCAGGTCTCCAGCCCCAACACATGAAGTTGGCCAAAGGAGACAGAGGGAACAAAAATAACAGGTAAGTGTCTGACTTTCTCTCAGAGACTTCAAGGATACTTCCTCAAGGCAAAAATAATAATTAAAATAATAAAAGCAAAAGACGGAACACATTCAGTAAGAGCATAAGAAGAACCTGTTGGATCAGGTCAAGGGCCCATCCAGTCCAGCATCCTGTTCTCACGGTGGCCAACCAGATGCCTCTGGGGAACCCTCAAGCAGGTTCTGAGCAGTATAGCACTCTCTCCTCCTGTAGTTTCCAGCAACTGGTATTCAGAAGCATTACAGTTTCTGACTGTGGAGGCAGAGCACAGCCAGTCGATAGCCCTTTCCCCCATGAATTTGTTTAATCCTCTTTTAAAGCCGTCTAAGTTGGTCGCCATCACTGCCTCATGTGGCAGTGAGTTCCATCATTTAACACAACACACTCCTGCAGTTTAGCACACTTGTCTGCCCCCTCTTTCTTACACAGCATAGCCCCAGGGGCTTCAAAGGTTCAGTGCGCTTACGTAAATAAGCTTTCCTAATGTGCAAACAACATCAGGGCAATAGCAGTGGGATTAATACCCAAGACTTCTAGAAAGTGAATGTTTCCAGTTCCTTTGTTTTGGCTTCCATACAATGGAGATTTCAGAGGAGGAGGAAGAGTGTTTGGGTTGGTTGTGTGAGCGAAGGTTTGGCCAGCAGCAGTGGCAGCAGCATATGGAGAGAATGAAATCAGAAAATTACAACACACCAGTAAAACAAGTGTATGCCTGGCCTGGATGGAGAACACAATTGTTTCATGCTCAAGTATTTGCTGTGTGTGTGTGTGTGTGTGTGTGTGTGTGTGTGCGTGTATGCATGCACACACGCGCACACACACACACACACAATGTGTCAACATTTGGAGTCACTCATCCTTTTGTACATACTGCATAAAACAACATTTAAGATGCTTCATCTTGTGGTCCTTTCAATGCTGAAGAGTCTCCTGCTCTGCACAGTTTAAACTAAACAACACCTGTATAGGCTGCTTGTACCACGTAAGATGCGGGATTTGGGGAAATTTTAATTTTAAAATGTGTACGTTGCACCTGGTAGCTCGGCATCAAAGCACCCCTTTTGCAAGCCAATGAAGCACAGAGCAAAAGTTTACTGCTTCCCCCGCTGCCCATAGAAAGGAAGCTGTGCAGCCCTCTGCTTCATTAAGTGAGAGTGAAAAGGGACGGAGCTAAGTCATAAATAGTAGCAGGAGGAGAGACACATTAGGCATCTCAGGCAAAGAAGAACAGACATGTTTTCGACCGAGATTTGAAGAGAGATAAAGGCGGAGGCCGTTCCAGATGGCAGGAGGAGCCGCCACCGCCAAGAGGCAAACATGTGAGGGCTGGGCAGCTGCCTGATGCCAAACACATGGTCACCTGCTGTTGGGATGGAGAAAGGGCCAAACCAAGAAAACAGAAGGGTTAATGGAAGCCAGGGCTCTCTGGAGGAAGAGAGCCCTGCCTGCAATGCTGGGGAGGGGAGGAGCTCCAAGCATGTCCTGCTTTGGCCCCAAAGAGATTCAGGTCCAGCCCACTGAATAAATTGTGCACGTTAAGCAGCTTTGCTCTTTCTCCCTCCTGATCTGATGTGTCTTGCTCTCGCCAGCCAGGAGGAGGGCAAGAGGGCGGGGGCAATGCAGAGGCCTGTGTTTTGAACACCAAGATTCCACTTCAGTAGGGATGGGCAATTATTTTCAAATTTAATTTATCCCCATTTCCTACATTTCCACTCTAAAGTTTAGTTGTCCACATTTCCACATCAGTTTTCAGATCTTAAAAAAAAGCCCTCATAAAAATTCAGCAGTATTTTAGTGCCAAGTTCTCTTAATAAACACATTTTTGCATGCCGTTTTGCCTAGCACAGACATTTTTGCAAAGCAACTTATATAATGCAGTTTTTGAATGTTATTTTCAATGACACATACATTTTGATGCACACATTACTCTAGCACAGGGGTCAGCAACCTTTTTCAACTGTGGCCTGGTCCACCGTCCCTCAGACCATGTGGTGGGCCAGACTATATTTGGGGGTGGGGAATGAACAAATTCTTATGCCCCACAAATATCCCACAGATGCATTTTAAATAAAAGCACACATTCTACTCATGTAAAAACAAGCTGATTCCCGGACCGTCCACAGGCCAGATTGAGAAGGCGATTGGGCCGCATCCGGCCCCGGGGCCTTAGGTTGCCTACCCCTGCTCTAGCATATGCATTTGGATGGAGAAGTGGGTTGCAAAATTCAGAGGAGTTGTGAATTCTGATAGATGGCTGCATTTCAGTTTGTGCATTGTTTCAGAAAGTGCAAATTAGGTACGTTCACCTTTAAATGCGAACCAAAATGAATTTCTTCCCCCATCCCTCCTCTTTCGTACTCCCCCTCCCCTCACAGCAACCTTTTCCCTCTCGGCCTTTCTGCACAACTGTTCTCCAGGCTGCGAGTCTACAGAAAGGAGGAGGCTGAACAACAGCCAAGCTGTCCAGTATAAGCCAGAAGGAAAAGCAGCATTTGGATCAAGGGAACTGCAGATTTTGATGGTAGGTGCACCATGCCCTGGTCAATAGGTTCAGATGCAACCATCTTCTGAAATGATTAGAATATCCACAAGCTGTCCATACGGGTCTCTCCTGAGCATGGGAAGCAGCCACAACTCAGTGGCAGACACCATGGCTCCTAGATCCAATCCCTGCCACCTCCCGTTAAAGACTCTCAGGTAGCCTGGCTGGAAATGATGCCTCTCTCCCTGGGTCCTCAGAAAGCTCCTGCTGACCACAGCAGACAATGGCTGGGTAATAAGGCTGATGGCAGGCCCTGCTTGCAGGCTTTCCACTAGGGTATTAGGCTGGCCACTGGATGCTGGACTACCGGCTTCAAGATTCTTCTGGGGAGGACTTTGGTAATATGGTGCCCTGAGCAAGGACAAAATTTGATTCCCCCCATATAAATATAAGTTGTTTATCATGATTATGATTCTGCACCCTGTGCAGGGGAACCACCTACACTGCCTTAAATCTAGCATTGACTCTTACACTCTTATGATTTAGGTGGAGGCTCACTATTTTAATGCAAAATTCTTAGGAAGAGCAGAACAAGCCTTCCATGTTTTTCTTTCCTCTGGAGGGAGGCTCACACAAGGGACGCCGGGCTTTGTGTGCTAACACAAACCCCACCACAAGCCAGCTGAATCCCCCACAAAAGATGTGAAAATTTCACATCATCTGCACTGAGGCCATGTGAATTTTCTTCCTCCGTCAGATCCCCAAGCAACTCCTTGCTCTGGGAAAGGAGATTCCTTTTTTGCAAAAGGGACCCATCAAGCAGGTGGTTCTGCCTCTTCCTATTCATTCCCATGCATTCATTTGGAGCATTCGGCTTCCTCTTCAGGAAAGGGTGGAGAGAGGTAACCGCAGCCATCTGTCTCCTCTCAGGCCACTCCATTCCAGGCAGCAGCAGCAGCAGCAGCAGCAGCAAGATCAGCAAGAGCAGCAGGTGGGGATCTTGCGTGCAGAGCACGGGCAGTCAGAAAGGGCCCCCAGGGAATGCTTGGAAAGGAGAGCAAATAAAACCTTTTCTGCTCTCAGGTTTGGAAGAGCACAGAGGGAGGCTGATGTCAAAAGCTGATGGTGGGGTGGGGGAGTGCCTGTTTCCTTGCCAGCCGTTGTTGTCAAGACCCAGATTGCTCTGCAAGCAAACACACCCAGCGCCAAGACACTGCTTCTCGCGCCCAGCTTGTCATGTTTGGGTTGAAGTCCTTTTTTTGACAAGAATGAGAGGCTCTTGCAGACCCAACCCAAACCCACCCTCAGGACAGATGCTGACTCACATCTGGATGCAGCCCCTGAGCTGGGGGTTCACAAGGAGGCCCTGCCCTTTGCTCAAAGCTCTCTCCAAGCGGGACATTATCAGATCAGGAAAGGCTGGCCAAGATGGCAAGGCAAAGGACTGGCTGCCATGGCTGCTGCAGCAACATTAAACTGCTATTAACGCTTTCTAATCTGAAGGGGGAAGGGGGAGGCCTCCTTGGAGCCACTCACAGCTGTCTCTGATTAACATTTAGTGCATTTAGATGTCATTCCCATTTAAAATCCTGTAGCCATCTCTCAAGTCCCTTTGGAAGGTGCTGACGCAATTGTGTGAAAACTTAAAAGCCCATAAACAAACTCATCCATCACCTGCTTCATGACTAATGGGTGTCCGCAACAGAAACTCAGCTAAGGAAATGGTCTCAGCTTTGCAAATAGCGCATCCTGAAGACAGCACCATGCTCAAACACATTCAGATTTATGTCTCACTTCAGATACCTAAACTAGAATTGCAATCACCACACACCAGCCATGGGTGGTGGGAATTTTGCAGGCTCTTGAAGGTGCAAGGCTAGCCAGCAAATGCTCCTGCAGAGTTCCCACCAAACAAGGCTTCAGCGGGAGACATTTCCAGGCGATTATGGCCCTGTGCCCTCCCCCTTTTATTAGTTTTCAGCTTTTACATGCCAAGTGTACATTACTGTGGGAAAACAACCCGTAAACTCATGTTGGTTTCCAAGATGCTTGCATATTCAAGGGCTCAATCAGACTTGAAAGAATCAGAAAACTGCAAAATCAGGATTTACAGATTCAACCATTTCATTGTCAGGTTCTACGCTTAAGCAGGAAGAACCAACTGCACCAATATAAGATGGGGGCACCTGGCTTGCCAGTAGTACATGTGAAAAGGATCTAGGGGTCTGGTAGACCACAAACTTAACCTGAACCAACCATGTGATGCTGCGTGCGGGGGGGGGTACGGGACACCTAATGCTATTCTAGACTGCATTAACAGAAGTCTAGTGTCCAGATCAAGAGAAGAAATAGTCCCACTCAATTCTGCCTTGGTCAGACCACACCTGGAGTACTGTGTCCAGTTCTGGCCAGCACAATTTAAGAAGGATGTTGACAAGCTGGAACATGTACAGAGAAGGGCAACCAAGATAGCAAAGGGTCTGGAAACCAAGCCTTATGAGGAACGGTTGAGGGAGTTGGGTATGTTAAGTCTGGATAAGACAAGACTGAGAGGAGATATAATCGGCATCTTCAAATATCTAAAGGGCTGTCACATGGAAGATAGAGCAGTGGCTAGGACCTGAACCAATGGATTCAAGTTACAAGACAATAAAAAGGTAAAGGTACCCCTGCCCGTATGGGCCAGTCTTGCCAGACTCTAGGGTTGTGCGCTCATCTCACTCTATAGGCCGGGAGCCAGTGCTGTCCACAGACACTTCCGGGTCACGTGGCCAGCGTGACAAGCTGCATCTGGCGAGCCAGTGCAGGACACAGAACGCCGTTTACCTTCCCGCTATAAAGCGGTCCCTATTTATCTACTTGCACCCGGGGGTGCTTTCGAACTGCTAGGTGGGCAGGAGCTGGGACTGAACGACGGGAGCGCGCCCCGCCGCGGGGATTCGAACCGCCGACCATGCGATCGGCAAGTCCTAGGCGCTGAGGTTTTACCCACAGCACCACCCGCGTCCCTCTACAAGACAATAGATTCTGACTAAACACCAGGAAGAACTTTCTGACAGTAAGAGCTGTTCTAACGTCAATGGGACACTATTTTGCAACTGGTTCCAGCTAACGGGGGGGGGGGGCTGTCGAGGATCCTAGTAAAAAAAAAAAGTAAATCCTGAAAGCCTAAAATCTGCCCAGTATCTTGTCTAGAACCTCTGATCTATGATGCCCCCCCCATCTCAAACTGTCAATTTGTACATGCTCAAAAGCACTTTCTTCTTCAGTACTGCTTAGCACTCTGTGGTCTGCATCAATAATGTGATCTGAGCCTCAATGTGAGCACTAGGTCCTGGGGGGAAATCTAACATTCTAAAGAGCAA